ACCAGTTCCGGGGCTTGATTGAGTGAGAGAGGACCGGCCTGGAGCAGGGCCCCAAGGCAACAATTGTCCCGAACCTTTGCCCTGGGATATTTATCATTTCTCGGGGACTGTGACGCAGTCGTCATTCCTTCAGAGTCATTTAATTCAGAATCGGGCTGGATGGGTCATCGAGGACTATAAATAAATGTGTGTTGAATGTTGGGTGGAACTGCTAATCAGTTGGGATATCCACCCATGTTTACCAAGGACAATTGTATTCTTTGCTATTTATATCCTTTTTCAATCAGAGGCCATCCTTTCGCATTCTATTGTGTTTTCTATCGACCATATTCAACTGGTCAGGACGTATTTTTAGGAAAAGGACAAAGAAAACAGCTTTTAACTTTTATGGAGGGTGATTTAAAGATTCAAGAAGATGATGATTTAAAAATATATCTTTATTTAGCCTTAAAATAATAATAATTCCAACCACAAAGTTTATTGAAATTCAAACAAAAGTTATCTGTCTGAAAATGTTTCTGGTTCAAATACATCCTCTGGAATCCTTCGTCCTGACCCAACATCCAATGCTTTTAGCACCACACTCTTCAAAATCCAATACTCTTTGTTGTGGATTCTCAAATGGAATTCTGTCGGGGCCACAATTGGCATACACCGCAGGAGTGCGTGCTCCGGGAAATGTGAAATGCCTGGCGAGCTGAGAAAACCCCAACCGTAACCGTAACCGAAACGTAATGGGGCCTGTTGTTCCAAGAGTTGGGTAAACTCACCTCTACCTGTCCGTCCACCTGTCACTTGCATGCGGAACAGTATTGTTCTTTGCGATGTTTGCCTATTTTTAGACTGCGGCGGCACATCGCATCAACTTTTAGCCTAATTAACCTTGTTCATCATCGTTGTAGGAGGACCTACTCTTCAATAGTTTAAGTCTCTACTTGATGATAATATTATGTTTAAGGAAGAGTTTCCGCCGCAGACTGCTTGGATGATTATGTCTCGGGGCTTATCGCGGGTGTCCTTTTAAATGGATATGGCTTAGGTGCTCGTTTCCTTTAATGTTTCCAGCCCGAGTCGCTGCGACAGCCGTTAAGCAATCATATTAAGTGGTCTAATGGCTAGGCGGGAGGGACTTAATTACACAAGTATGATTATGTCCAAATGGCAACAAGTAGTGGGGCGTTTAGAGTACATGGTAATTACAAACAGCGGACTAGTCCTGAGGTAATTATCCTGCTTACATAAAGAAGCCACAATAACAGAAGGACATTGAAAAACTTTCTAAAAAGTTATACAGACTTGCGGGGAAACAAATCTGGCCATGAATCACCATTCTGGCCGACAATCTGGGCCTCCTTTTCCGTCAATTGGGCTAATTCACGGCACAAAGAGTTTCAATCTCTGTTGGCCAGTTTGTTCATCAATTCTCGCTCTGAATAATTTATGCCCAGCTCGGCTTCGGCTTTACTTTTATCCCATAGCTTTTTTTTCTTCCATTTCTGGGCTGTGTTTGCTCATGAATATTTGATGGCGCACTTTTCGCCAGTTATTTGTGTTTGTGCAACTCACTTTAATTGAAAATAAACGGAAGTAAAAAACTCATAAAGTACATAACCAACAAGGGGGGTGTAACACATTTTTTAATGTAGTATGAAAATAGAAATCTGAAAGAGCATCAAAAGTCAAATGTCACATGGCCGAGACCATAAATGGAGGATGGCAATCGTGTCGATGGATGGATGGATGATTCGCATTTATGCAGACATTTAATGTTTCGTTCATCTTTTATTAATAGCTACACATGGCCATGATTATGTAGATAGTCCGCTGTAGCCTCCGTTCCAGCGGATTTTCCTGCCTGTGGCTTTCCCTCCTGTCTCGGTTTTATTTGGGGGCCAGGCTTATCCGCCTGCTGTTTACCTGCTTGCTGGTAATTTGTCAAATGCGGATTTTTCCAGGCGTTATTTAGCTGGCTGTTGCGCCTCCAGCAGAGAGGGCATTTGCGAGGGTAGCTTTATAAGTACTTTATAGCGATATTATAACATTAAAGAATTTTTAAGCAGCATTTTGTAAGAATTATTTATTATTTATTCTTTAATTTAATTCTTCCAATCTAAACTTGCTTTTTTTTGGAAGGTCAAAAGTCAGAATACTGCCCTCTAAGAGAGCAAATCCTCTTTTGGGGGTGGCTGCTGAAAATGATGATGGTGGAGATTCTTTGGAGGCATTGAGGTAGGAGGAGGCTCAGCAGGTGCCTTCTGCCTTCGGTGGGATATCATTTATTTTTGCTTTATACACGCATTTAGCTTTATTTCGCTTTGCTTCTTTTTCACGCTTTCGTTGCGAGGCAAATATAATACATTTCCTATAAGCATTATCTTTAAATACATGGCCATTGTGTAGGTGAAAGCCGTTGTCAGAAAAAGGGAAGAATGATGGAGGGCTCAACATGACGGCAACGAATGGTATTCCGTTGCCATGAGCCTCGGATATTGGCCCTTCAGTTCTTCTGGCCGTTGCGTGTCTCATTGCGCTTTAGACCCTTTTGAAATGGGAGAAATCTCTCTTCGACAGCTCCAGCTCCAAATCTCAATCCAATTACAATCAGAGGGTGGCCTACAACTACTCCTACTACTATGTAGCTCCAATTAACTGAAACAACAATTAAAATGGGCAACTGAAGCCGTAAAAAATCATCTCCAACAAAAGGAGCAACGCCATTCTAAGCTGACAATGCAATTTTCGCATCAACGCACCGAGGGGGTGGCCCAAAAGGGGGAGGACTACAATAAAAAAATGGGGAAAATGGAAAATTGGGAGGGCTGTGGCAGTAAAGTGTTACTACACACTTTGCCACATTTTCACTCCTCCATTTGCAGTTGCAGTTGCGATTGCAGACCCTTTTTTCTCCCTTGGACCCATCCTCCTGCTGGCTGCAATTTACATAAGTGCCATGTGCGTTGAATCTTGTTTTGTCATTCACTTTTCCGAGGTCCATGGTGCCACGACTCCATGACAATGTTACAATAGGAGTGGAAAATAAAGGGAGAAACTGTTGAAAATATTCTGACAATTTCTCCAAGGGAATTATGATAAAATTCATGAGGAACTCAGGGCTTACGTTGTTTAAAAAAGATTAAAGTTTTGCATTTTATTCAGAAGCTTTAGGCATTTCTATTTCATAAAAACACGTACGGTTGCATTCTCACAACTAGGCACGTAATTCGATTTAACTGACAAAACAATAAAACCTGTTACTGATATTGGCAATCAAATAAGATTTTCCAATTGACAGTCAACTACCAATTTTCTTTTTTTTTCCATATTTTCCCGTAAAATCCCAGATGTAATATTCTGTTTGTACATTCCCATGAAAAATATTATTTAATAACAACCTGCAGCAGTATTTATCTTGTCTCTAAGCCTCTGGTTTCATATTGATTTCCCCTCCTCCCATAAAGGCAAAGATGAAAGAATGGTTGGTCTAATTAATTCTTGCTGGCCTTGTTTACTCTCTGGATTTATGATGAAGATGTCTGGAGAATTGAGGTCAGCCGCCTGCGTAGCAAAAATATACTCGAACCCTTTTGTTTCTTGTGATTTCTGTTTTTCTGCCATTGCGGCATGTCGTAATTCTTGTTCCATGCGTTATTCCGCAGAGCAGTTTCCCCAAACTTTTATAATTAAAACTTTTCACGGAAAAAATCCAGCGGGAAGACAAAAAAATAAACCAGCAAGGAATTCTTAAAAAAGAGAAGAACTCTTAAAAGTCGATATGAATTTGTCGGGACAAAATATGCATGGAAGTTGATGGGTTTTGTCTTCCTTAGAAGCTCTAGTACTCCGAGTGGACTACTTTAAGAAACCATTGCTCAAGTATATGGCCGACCACTTATCGGTCCGGGCCCGGCTTAGTTATGCAATGCCCAAATGGGAATCCACGGAGCCATAAATAAAACCGGAAAACTGTTGCCGCCGCTGTCAGGTCAACAAAACTGCGTAAAAGCCATACCCCTCAGCCTCATCCTCAGCCCATATCATGCTTCCTTCCTTCCTTTCAGCCAATGACGAAGAAATAAATCACAAAAAAAGGGAAGCGCCGGAAAATAAATGGCAGCAGCCGGACCGAGGGCGGGAGTGGCAGGAGACCACTTCCTTGGAGGCTGGCCAATTGCTAATGATAAGCCGCCATGGACAGGACGATATTCATTGTCGGGCCCATAATACTGATATGCAATAAGTTTGCACCCTAATTGGGCTGGCCAACATGGCGTATGCTCGACGCGGACCGACATATGCTCCTTTAATCTCTTGACCCAGTTGGTTGAATTTAATTTGCGGCCACAATTAAGTGCAGTCGTGGGCGAACTGTTGATTTAATATGGTCTGCAGCAGTTTTTATTCGATTTGCAAAGAGTATTTTTCAGAGTTTTTATATTCGAAGCTTCTGCATCGCTTAACACAACGCACTTCGTTGGCCTTGCCTTGTCATAATGAAGCATAATGCATATGGATCCATAGATATTTAAGTGGAGCGGCATTACCCGGCTTGCATAGCGATTGAAATCCTTTGCCTATCGCTGCGAATTTCATATTATTTCCCTTTTATATAGTATGTGGAAATGTGTGCGTAGCCCATCATCCATACATCCACAGAACCATACACTCTTTTTCATTCTGCGACAGGGCTCCGCTTTATTTTTTCCTTTTGCCGCCGCAGGCCGGGCATTCAATATTGCAATATGTGCATGGAATTTCTGAGCACGATGAGCAAAGGGGAAAAAATGGCGAAGGCGATGGCGATGGCTCCCCAATCGATTGTTCTGAAAGACGAAGGGTCTATTTGAAAGCTGGCTAAGAGCCAGAGAAAAGCGGCTCAAAGAGCTTTATCGGCAGCTGTGTCTCAAGGCTCAAGTTTAGTCCTCGAATCAAGTTTTTATTGCTCTTTTAAAAGGTTTTGGCTGCCAGCAGCTTATCAAAAAACGAAACCGTAATTCCACCAATTTTAAACTCAACAGAACAACGAAATTTATTGGTAACACAAGTAACTACAACGAGAAACAGTTGGATTTTGATGAACATCATGAGCGCAGCCCTTTGTCCTCGAACTAGGAATCCACTTGCCGTCGAACGTTATGAGAAGAAAACTATCTTAACACACGTGCCCCTTTCGCGCTGATCGAGAGGGAAGGACTAAATAAATGAATATTAAATTAGTGGGACATGCTTACAATGTAATATTCGAACGGAGCGCGGCAGAGCGGACATCTGTTCAAGGGTTTCGAGTCGTAGACCTTCCGCAGACACCTCCTGCAGAAAAAATGATTGCACGGCGTTCTCACCCGGTGCCGCATCCGGCAAAGGCACACGGAGCAGTCGCTATTCCCGGCCATATCTCTATACCCGCCTTCGTCGAATTGCCCAAATTATATTTTTCGATCCTTGTCCTTGTGTGGAAACTATTTTAGTGTGCCGCCAAGCAACGACGTTTAAATCAGAGCTCCAAATTTTGAAGGGTCTTGAATTTTTTTTTAAATATTTATCACATGAATGGATAATTGATGTACAAATTGTTTGAGGTATTCCGATCAAGGATCGGTTGAAAATTGGCAAAGATATGGTCTTCTCTGTGGCTCATATAGTCCCTCCTTGCATTTTTCGGAATTTTGAAGAGGAGCACCCAGAAAATTTGACTAAAATTCTAAAAAATATTTTTTTTCCCAGATTTTGATGCAGAATAATAGAGAATCGATATACAAGTAGTTTGGGGTATTCCGATCAAGGATCGGTTGAAAATTGGCAAAGATATGGTCTTCTCTGTGGCTCACATAGTCCGTCCTTGCATTTTTTGGAATTTTCAAGGGGAGCACCCAGAAAATTTGACTAAAAATCTAAAAAATATTTTGTTCCCAGATTTCGATGCAGAACCATTGAGAATCGAAGTACAAATCGTTAGAGGTATTCCGATCAAGAATCGGATAAAAATTGGCAAAGATATGGTCTTCTCTGGGGCTCACAAAGTCCCTCCTTGCAGTTTTCGGAATTTTGAAGGGGAGCCACCAGAAAATTTGACAAAAAATCTAAAAAATATTTTGTTCCCAGATTTTGATGCAGAATCATAGAGAATTAATAAACAAATCGTTTAAGGTATTCCGATCAAGAATCGGACAAATATTATCTAAGATATGGCCTTACCTGTAAGTCATATTTGTCTCCCCCTGACGTACTATTTATGCTATTCTTGGACAATTTTGTGAAAAGCAGCTATACCCTCGGCAAGGATATACAACACTTGGTAAATAGGTGTTTTCCCCAGGCACCAAATCAATAAAATATCACACGAGCTATCATTTGGTATTCACCCTGTATCCTGCATGCGAACTTACATAAGCACTTTCGGATGACAAGAGGAGGCGCCAGCTTATTGTCTGACATGGTACATTATAGATTTTTATCAGGCCCTTATCCTGACTGGGCCAGTCAAATGCAAGCATTCAATATTGTCAAATTAGGGCAAAGATTGATTGTCGTTTTGTCAGGCAGGCCTCGTCATTCCGTCAGGCTGGCAGGCAGGCAGGCAGACCAAGAAGCACTCCTAACTAATGCTCTTTTCCTTTCTTTTTCTTTTCATTTATCGCCGGAACAGCGGATGGCTGGGCAGCGCCAAGGGTTGGCTGGGAAACGCCTCGATACCATCGATGCCAGCCATGCCGGCCATGCCTTCGATGCCATCGATGCCAGCCATGCCGTCGATACCATCGATCCCGGGACTGCGCAAAGCCGGTGGAGCCGAAGGAGCTGAGGGCGCCGAAGGAGCTGCCGCCGGAGAGGGTGGCGCCGCCGGCAGCGGAGCCGTGAGTGGTGGCGAGGATGACGACAAGTCGAGGTATATTAGGTATGGGTGCCAGCTTAAGAATGACGGAATTTTGTATACGAAGCAGCCGCTGAAAATGTATTAAGTGAAGATGAGAAGCGCGTTTGTACTTTAGTTCCTTGGTTCGTTTTCGGTTAAGCCAGCCAAAGTTTTGGTTTTGGCCTTTTGTTCAACTTTTCCGGGCTGCCTTTTGTTTGAAGTCGTTAACCGAAAACCCCAAAAAATATAAAACAATCCAAGTTTTTTTTAGCCTCCTTAACAGTTTCGTAAAGAATATGAGCATAAGTTAAAGTTTTCCTTGATTTTTATTTACAATTAGTTTGCCTAACTAACAGTTGAAGCCTTTTCCACACAATTAACCTAAAAACTAACCAATATACACACGAGTTTCTCTCAAACTACTTATATATCTACTATATACTACACATCAAAGGGGCCTCATCGCCTCTAACATATATTTAGTTGAGATATTGTTGCGCATTCCCACTTAATCAATATACTTATATTTACGCATTCGTTTAATCTACACGATTTATCTTGTGCTGATTCAAAGTTTCACTTTTTCACATATTAATAACGTTTTGTACAAATCGAAATACGACCTCTGTCTCTCTCTCTCTATAAATCTCTTAATCTCTAATCCTATTTATCTTTCATATTTCTAATACAATAATACATACATTTATAAGTCGTTTCAAAGTTTTTGTATATAATGCTATAAATTGGCTGCAGTTGGTAAGCAAAATTTTGTCCTTTTATGAGATGTTGGGTGAAATACTTTAGTTACCTTTTTAAAAACTAACCTTACGGTAAGTTGTCCATGATTCCCATCTATAAAAGGATACAATTTTGGCAAAATCCCAAACAAATCTGAAACATCCATTAATCATTTCATTCAGCTCATGATCAAGTGAAATTTATTAGAATTCTATTTCAACACAAAACAAATACATAAACCATACATTTTAACATTTAGCAGCCCCATCGTTATGATTCGTTTTATTTTATTAAAACCATTTAGATTATAATTTTTGTCGAACGCGTCGAAATCAAAACCAAAATACGTTCTTTAACCATCATTTGTTTAGACTTTGATAAATGCTCAAAGTATCAGATTCCATCATTACTGAGCGGCCCATCGAATCCAGGTCAAGGAAACCAAAACGAGACCCAAAAACCCATCTGGAACAAAGTATCCCATGGCTACATACAGTAGATATGAAAACAAGCTCAAACCTAATTGTTGTTGGTAGTTGTTTATCATTGTCATTATTCCGATCATTTCCATTATCATTGTACTTTTCGATTCGAGCTCATTTTGCTGTGTAGTTATCATTTCTGTGTGACATCCTTTATTTTTCCTCGTCTTTGTTTTTTGTGTAGCGGCTAAGAGTAAACCCACCTGCCCAGTTATTTGGCCAGAACCCTTTCCCCCCCTTCTCTCTATCTCTGTGTCTTTCCTGGGGATCCGGTTTAATTGTCTCTAAATTGGAAAATAATTAGAAAGTACGAATGGGACTCCCCTGCATGATTTCTTAGTGTGATCTGTTCAAGAATCCCTTTCGTTTCATGTTTAGTTACCTCTGTGTAGACTCCTTTTTGGCATTCTTCATCTCGACATCACATGAGATTCTGTCACTCCATTCTGCATTCACGAATCAAATTGAAAAATTTCAATATAAATGATTATCTGTATACAAAAACATGAATACGTGTAAATATACATAAGCGTTATAAAATATTTCCATTAAAAATTTAAGATGTTCTTGAAGACGTCTTGAAAGTTGTGTTTCAATTCCCCAAAGAAAAAAATACATATATGAATAAGAGAGACAGAACCCAAAGTCTTTTGGAATGTTTTTTCTAAATAAATTGATTAAAATAATAGCTTTTATTAAATGGAGTTTTGACTTGAATACTTATTATATTATGAATAGTACCATTTATGCTATTATTTTAATGAATTTTGATATTTTGCATGGCTTTTTTTCTATTCTTGCATGTTCTTTTATTATTCCTTTTATTTCTTAAAAACAGCAAGATTTTTGTGAAATATTGCATGTATAAATTTTATTAAATCTTACATAGTTTAGCTGCATTTTGTCTGAATTACTTCTAGAGCTTTACACAATCGAATATCTATATTCTTTACACAAACAACTAAATACAAAATTATATAAAACTTTATACTTACATTATTTTTTATACTTTTATTTCTTCCTTATCCCTGGATTCAATCCAAAATTGTGCAATTGCAGCGCCACAGAGGGCGCCGACTCGCATCCAGCTTCGGGCGGGGGCACGCCCACCGGCGACGAGGGTCAAATCGGACAGGGTAAGGGCGATGAAGTCAAAAGTACGTGTCACACTTTGATTGGTAACAAAAAAAAAACTATAAGAGACAACTGAAACTCTATGCCAAAAGTCGAATCAATGTCAACTCGAATTGCCAATTCGCATAAGATTGAGTTTAGAAAGCGGTGACAGGTTACTAACCGAGCCAAACTTACTAGTAAACAAGTAGTTGAAGTAGAACCCCTTTTTACTGCCTCTGAATCCATGACACCCCCCACTGAATCAGTTTCCCCCCCCTAGCATCGTTTACTTTGTAGTCAAGTTCAGTTACTTAGTTGCAGCCCGCTTGCGGTTGCCCCTTTTCGAACATTTATTGGCCCACAAAGTTAACTAAGCTTGATTTTAATCCGTCCGACAGTTACCACAAAAGTAACACAGCAAGCCAAACACTTTGGATCCTTCTTGTCATCGGCCATCAGCAAGGCTGGCAGCAAAATCAAGGAAACCGTCAAGGATAATGTGAGTAGAAGCCACTCGGCTATCCTTCCCAGGCATTCATTTCATTCATGGCTTAACCTTTCAACTTTAGACCATTCTCGACTCGTTCAACAAGGAGCAGGAGGCCTTCATTAAGGGCCAGGGCGGTGTCGGCAATGGAGCCGCTCCCTGGATCGGTCATGCCAACGAGGCCAAGATTAAGGAGGAGATCCTGGGACTGTCGCAGGATCGTCGCAACTTCGTGCGTGCCCCGCCAGCTGGTGTGGACTTTGAGTTTAGCTACGATACCGCTTATCCCACGGCCATAGCCATTATGGCCGAGGACAAGGCGCTGGAGACGATGCGATTCGAGCTGGTGCCCAAGATGTGAGTATTCAGAAATGGTTTTAGCTTAAGAATTCTTCTGAGAAGTTTGCCCTATGGACCTTTATTTAAATAACAATTCTCTCACAGCATCACTGAGGAGAACTTCTGGAGGAATTACTTCTATCGCGTCTCCCTAATCATCCAGGCCGCCGAGCTGGGCACCCTGGGCGCCGACGGTGTGGGCCAGGCCTCCAGCGGCGAAGATGGTAAGTTTGTTGTAGCTCCATCCACCCGGAGACGAAACCAAAACTCCAGGATGATATATCTCTTAGTAATGAAATTCAGGAAAACAGTCTGTCTCGCTCACCAAACACACACACTCGTTACTCGCGCGCTCTCTCTTTCTCTCTACCTCTGTACCTCTCTATCTATCAATCTATCTACCTCTTTCTGTCTATCGACCAACCTACCTGTATCTGTATCTATCCTACGACTATCTTTCTCTAAGTATAAGTATTTCAGTTTT